TATTACATTGCCATTCATATCATTTTATTTACAGTTATTTGTTAATATACGTCTGAAGACTGAAATCAGCTGTAACACATGGAAGGCAATTTGTTCAAGTAAGTGTGGGAAAGGTTTGTTAATTGCAGCATTACGTCATACATAAGTTTACAATCTGAAGTCAGGGTGATATACGGCGGGTAACACTAATAACTGAAGCCGCAGTTCTGTCGATGCAGTCTCGCAATGGATAATTACTACATTGTTCGTCTACCAACGTGTATCGACTCTTATCTTTGGCATGTTTGCCTCAAACTTAAATGAAAATCCCAAACGACTGAATTTATCCACCAATAACGAACGGTATTAAATGTAACCTTATTTATAGTTCTTCATTTTTTGTTATTGTTATTGCCGAGTCTGGTTATATTGTCATAACTTGTTTTGGGGTATTGTATTTAGTTAGATAAATGTCTCAAAGTGCTTTGCACAGTACCGCACCTTTACATGACATGTATCTGAATACGAAAGGAGAAACAGAATTATGTACTTTATGTTCAGCTATGGTCGCATATGATATAATGTACAATCTCTTCTCATATGAGCCTACACTAAATTGTTGTTCAATTTGTTATATTACGCTCACTAGCGACGGCAATACAATGCACTTCAATGTACACATAATTGCATCACGTTCTGTGTCAGCTTTGTTTCAACCAGAAACATCTGGATTAATGAGGACTTGCTGCTAGATAATCTATGTACTATAATTTTGAAGAAGAACTTTATACTTCTATTTACTTGTGACCCATGATAGGAACCCTTGTTGCGCTCATGGTACTTTCTTTGACTTTCATTATGTGTCATCAAACCTGCAGGCTAGCCCTGCGTACAGTGCTGTGTGTACAGGGACGCGGTCGGTTGATAGATGTCCCCACCACAGCCCTGCGTACCTCCATAGACAAAGTCCGGGAGCGCACCGTAATTGGTGCGCAAGTTAAAAATAAGTAGTTTCCCAGCCGAAATCGGCTGAAATGACGATAGTTATCCGTAACAATCACTACAAAGTTATCTGAAACTGAAATGTCTTTAAATAACAACTAGTAAAGACGGACAAATTGTAAACGCGTAGGTACCGGAGGAATTATCCACCAAACGCCGTCATTTTTAATTTCATTCTCGCGAGAGAATGCGTTTGTTTTTAGGGCAAAGTAGCAGTTTCTTATCCCGTACCGTAACGACCGAGAACGATTTCTCAGTGCGATCTAAGATTTTGTTGTTTTGGCCAATGATAAGGGGAAGTGCGCGAACGCGGCTGTAATGCCGATTTTCATCTCGTCAGATATCTAGTTTTACTAGTACGCTGATTTCTCGGGATACACATTTAGTGAAAGACGCATTTTGAATTGCTTGTTGTTCATTTCTCTCTATTAAGGATGCAGCTGATCACAGTGATATTTATGTTCTTTCTCTCTGAAGTTCATTCTATCGCACAAGAAGAAGGGCCCACGGTATTTTGTTTTAATTTGTTCAAAATATGTACGTGACATCCGCGAGTTCGTAATTAACGCGACAATTGTTCGTTCTTGAAACTGGTCATATTAATATCATGCATAAATTATTGTCAACGTAACATGCATCATTTATTACTGAACTAATTTTTATATATTGTATTTGTTATTATAGCACACTCACAGTCATTGGGACAAAGGTTAGTTAATAGTTATGATAATACGTATATTTTGCAATCACTATAAACAATTAGCTGTCACGTGGTTCATGGATGCGGGGAACTCTGTACGTGTTTCAGAAAATTTGCATATCTGACCACATTACGTAGAACTACATTCCACTGCGATTCCCGTCATGCCATGTGACAAGAGATAACTGTGACAAATGACTACACGATTGGTGAAACAGATAATACAAGATTTTGATAAAAAAAACAGCTCTTAAACAACTATTGGTGTAATAGTGACGAAATTTTAGTTTACCAGCCACAATGTTGAATTTGGAATTAATGTATGAAATGGAGTATATAAATTCGACCATGCATTATTTGCATATTAACATTATTAGAAACTATCTTCCACATGTGATACTAAATCCCTTGTAGAACATAAACACTCCAATAAGAGATGGGACTAAGCAAGATGGGTAAAATATTTTGCCCTGCGAAATCGAATATAAATTTGTGTTCTTTATCTTTTTTTTAATTTTTTCAAAGTACTATTTTACACAAGATCGTATAATTTCCGGACAGAATGCTGTTTCAATTACATATATTGTCCTATACCCCCATTAAAACATAGACATTATAATACTCTGATTCACGACACTGACGACAAACATAATTTTAAAATAACTTTTAAATATCTATTATTTTTGTGCAGAACAAATCTGTATTTATTATTTGAAACGGGTAATGCAAACTACTCGAAAATACTGATTTTTTCTCATAACTGTTCACAGTATGCGCTAACGTGGACACAATTAATACTCCGGATATCTACAACTATCAATATATGCCAGGGGCTCCAGGAATGACTCGTCTCGAGTTTGAGGTCAAAGCAAGCAAAAATGTACACATTGCTTTATCATCACAGTCAAACGATTTGCCAAATATGTACGAAATAGTGATTGGTGGACTTGAAAACAGTCAGTCTTTTATACGTCGTTCAAAACAAGGCGAGGATTTGGCAATTGCAATTACACCTAAAATGTTATCCCCATCTGAGTTCAGAGGATTCTGGGTGACCTGGGACAATGGCATAATCAAAGTTGGCAGGGCTGGAGAAACCGAACCGTTCATGCAAATGGAAGATCCTAATCCACTGACAATAAATTACATTGGATATTCCACCGGTTGGGGAAGTACCGGAGTGTTCTATGTCTGCACTGCATATGGTATGTTACGGTTTGTATAAAATATGTTACTGTATATGACCCAAACAATATTTCTTGATAATTCTTTGACAGAATTATTTTTTAATTTTATCTTTTTTTTTCAAAATAAGTGTGGAGTCCTTGTGACGTTATAATTCTTTTTTAAAGGATATGGATCATTGTAGTTGTGATTCAGTAACTCGAATAATTAAAACATCTCACATATTTGAAATAGCTTATCTATTTTTCTTAGTCCGTAAATAATTGTCAGCCTATGCAAGACACTTTGCATTTATTATAAAATAACAGGCAATGCATATAACTTGAATAATATTACTTGTTATCATGGTTTTCAACAGAATGTGCTAACTGGGACATACTTAATACCCCGAAAACATACAACTATCAGTATATAACAGATGCGTCAGGAACTACACGTCTAGATTTTGAGGTCAAAGCAAACAACGACGTGCATATTGGTTTGTCAGCACAACAACACGATTTAGCAACAATGTACGCAATAGTGATTGGTGGATTGGGAAACACACAGTCTTTTATACGTCGTTCAAAACAAGGCTTAAATATGGTCAGCGAATATACACCCGACATTCTGTCGCCATCGGAGTTCAGAGGATTCTGGGTGACATGGCATAATGGTGTAATCAAAGTTGGCAGAGCTGGGGAATCCAATCCGTTCATGCAATGGGAAGACCCGAATCCACTGACAGTAAATTATATTGGGTATTCCACTGGCCCAGAAAGTAAAGGGGTTTTCAAATTATGCGTTGATTATGGTATGTTCTCGTTTGTATTAAACTTTTGTTTGTATTGAAAGCTTATATTTTGACAGAACTTAATTGAAATATAGAAACTTTCGGATATATTATGTATGTGTGCTGGTTAATCGATTCTAAAGTGCCCCCTAAGTCAATATCAAATGATTCAGTATTCATTACATGCGTGGAGTGCATGTATTTAGCACTTTTCTCTGAGATTGGCCTTTTTGAAAGATGTACAGAAAATTCTTCTGCTTTAAAGATCCTTTTATACGTCACCACAATTGTGCATAGTTTTCAAATTGCTTATCGCACATACTGTGTCACATAAATATTTGTTTTCGTAGCACAAATGTCGCACGTATTTATAAATGTTTGTTTGACTCGCAGTTGGAAGCGGGAATGGTGATCCACATATGACAACATTTGACGGATTGAAATACGACTTCCAAGGATACTGTTCATACGTACTTGTAAAAGATTGTAACTCTCAAGGAAAGTTTGAAATCACAGCTGATTTCCGTGGACGTAGAGAACCGACTAAGCCCCCAACGAGAATGATTGCTATCAATATATCTGCTATAGGAATACCAACAATACGTTTACTGGAGGACAATTCATTCATGGTAAGTCTTACTTATTTTGTAAAAAAATAAAATAAATTGAACAAAATGGGTTTATACAGGGAATTAAAAACACGTGCGCGAGCTCATTTTCTACTGTTCAATTTATATAATTTACATAAAAATAAGAATAACTAAAGAATCAATAACATTCAAATAACAATTGACGCAAAACACTACTTTTGTGTGTTTTTGTTTACCAGGAATTAGGTAAAAACCACTTTGGCTTTTGCCATATGTACTGCCATACATACATTTGTTTTAAAATGTTTTTAATTGCAAGTTTTTCTTCTCATAACAACTGCACAAACTGTTTACTGTTTTATCGTTTACATTGTATTAGTACTGCTTCATTATTATTTATAATTGTCAAACATAAATACAACAAGTCTAAATAGGTGTTAATGACGAATAGCTTTTATGTTTGCCAACATAAACAATGGTTATTATCAAAAGAAGAAAAGGTCTCCAAACTTGGTAATAACACTGCTCAACAGAATCATTTTTTCATTGTGACGTTTCAAAATACTTAAGTACAGTAAGTTGCAATGCGATGTCATTTGGATTTTCTGGTTGTCGAGAGTATATCTTGTAAGTACATATGTGCTCCGGTATTTTCTGAAAACGTCAACCGAAACACAGACGTAACCTCACAGTGACGTTATCCTCGTAATAACCTTATTATTATACATGTTTTCCTTCAAAGGATACATCACGGGAATGCCGAAATCCAGAATGTTTAGAACTTCTTTATGTGGAGTCCGGCCAAACCCTGGTAGCAGTCATGTTTGATTCTATTATTTAGATGACAGATTTAGCCGGCTAAACTCTGGGGCCACCATTTTTTTATTATTATTATTAGAGGACGCTCACGCGCGTAATCGCTCCGTATTTGGAATTTGCATTTCCTAATATGGCAGGATGAAAATACCCAGTGCAATGCCGCAAAATTACGGCACGCTGTAACTTATGGCGTTACTGTGACAGATGTATAATAATATCAATTATTACAATGAATCTTATATTGATTGTATTCACTCAGGTTGGAGGTAAACCGCATCGTGGTGGTGACTTTTACTCTGAATTTGCGTCTGTGACTCCAAGCGGACATAATGTCATCGCAAGGCTAACTGACCCCAACTTATCAGTTGTTTGGAATGGTAAACCTCACAAAGTGCAAGTAATGTTAGACGATATAGAATTACCTGGTACCGTATGTGGGTTGCTGGGTAACGCTGATGGAGATACTACTAATGACTTCATCAAACCAGATGGCGATATAGCTACGAGTGCCGAGGAGTTCGGTAATAGCTGGGCTGTACACGGCAGGTAATGTATTTCAATTAACAGAAGTTGAAAGTACGTAAGTCGAATCCGAATGTCTGTTTAGAGAGATCTTCGGGGGGGGGAGGCCTTTCATTTACATATACTCTTAATCGCCTGTTATACATTTTGGGTTTTAACATGATAATAATGGTGTACAATTTATTCAAATATAATGTTTTCTAATTTGTTTTAGCTGCCCATGAGGAGTAATATGCAGATAAACCTACCCTGTCATATAACCTAGCCATGGCTGAGAAAGGGGAATCTTCGAATAGTGAATTGAGATTTGATGAGGTTATCTCTATTTGTTCGATTTTCGGATTATATAACTGACCTAGTTTCAATTGATATTTAGCATGCATGGATTATAAGGTTTAATAATTGTTCAAAACTGTAACTGTGAAAGTGGAAGAATAAATATGACACGTCGCATTATATATATATCGTCCTGTTATCTTTACATACGTAGATACGCATTGTTATATCCCATGTACAAATTATTTCATATACAAAGCAGATTCAATGTTTTGCTTAGTATGGCAGAATGTTATATAGATGCAATGAACGTTTCAGCTGACAGATTAGATTGTATTGTGGTATAATCAATTAGATAAACTTCGTAGATGCTTATAATATAACCAAAGTATTGCACAAAAATTGACAGGAAAATCATAGTGGTCAAAGGCTTCATCTTTGATGAATATTTGCTGTGTTCTCCTAATGTCAGGGGTACCTCATACGTACGGTAAACGTTACACCAATCATCATATAATTGATTCAAAACTGTATAAGTACATAATGGTTCATCGCTATTGGTTATTTGACTCTTTCCAGAAAAAATCTTTTAAATGATTACTCATATCACTCATAACTACACAATGATTATAGGGAATTAAATGTGTTGAAAAACATACAACTCAATCGAAACAAAATACATAATTCCACCAGATTTAAACATTGCACCGACAATGAACGTTGTAATTTGACAATGTTTTGCATATATATCTACGGTAACCGGTAATGTGGAATTTTTTCAAGTCTTTGAATTTGAATACACAATTCAGGGTGGGTAAAGTAAAGTCATTCATTTGAAAATGTAAATTTACTTAAATAATTTGTGTAAACGATATATTCAACTTGTCACTTTCTAAAACTACCAAATTGTATATTTTTCAAATGCTTGAATCTAAAACGATTAAAACGTGCCTCAAATTATGCGACCGGACTAAACAGTTTAAAGGCGTTGATGTATTTACAGAAATAAAAAGTATTTATTAGACCAAACACTTATTTAACTTAATTGTATCTATCTATACGGAATCATGTCATCATATCACAGTACGGTGCTCCTCGGGAAGGGATGCATTTTAAGCCCAAAATGTGGATGAAAAATAACAAAATTTATCAAAATACACAATGTGAGTTTTGAGCAATAATTAAAATAGAAAGCTCAGTATTATATCTTTCTATTGATAATAAGACTCTTCCCAGTGCATTACAAAATGTTTCACAATCACCATGCACATTGACAAGGGAATATCATTATTACATAGAGGTACAGGATGTTTACTTCCCGATTTTTGCTGGGAAGCCGGCTTGATTTTTGATCACATACTATGGAGCCTGTTTTTACATTAGTAATCTCACATCACACCATGTAATACACGATATTATAATACCGATAATATGACTTTTCATTTTTATTATTCATATTTACATTATTGAACAACTTTCATAATCAAAGCAATAGCTTGGAAATATTAACTCAATTAAATATGTAACCCACGAAGTCCTCGTCTAATAATTGTTACTGTATAGAAGAGCTGGGTAGCAGTAGATAAGGTGATTTGGAACAGGACTGTAACATTTTTATGGACAACTGAAAATTGGAAATTATTATAAAATCATTATATTGTAAATGTAATAATCGATATAATAATCCATCCATGACGACTACCTTTAAATCGAAACTCATACATAGTCAGAATCTGAAAACAGAACTGGTAAATGGTAAGTTTGATCTAGTACTACGAAAACGCCCAATTCTAACCTAATTAATTAATTAATTAAATAATATCTTACCTGTTGTGTACAGCCCAGCTGTTACCGAACTCCTCAGCACTGGAAGCTATATCGCCATCTGGTTTGATGAAATCATTAGTAGTGTCTCCATCAGCGTTACCCAGCAACCCACAAACAGTACCAGCCAATTCTCTACCATTCAACATAACTTGCACTTTGTGAGGTCTACCATTCCAAATCACAGGCAGTTCAGGTTTACTTAACCTGGCGATGACATTGTCTCTGCTTGAAATCACAGATGCCAATTCCGAATAAAAGTTACTACCACGATGCAGTTTACCTCCAATCTGAGAGATGAACATAAAAATAATTGTTGTTACTCATTACACATTCTGCCACCCAGGTAATATATAGTTATACACACTATATAGGTAAGTTCCAGTGTCGTATATTGGCCCTTTCAGTTTTATCGATGTTTCCAGTCCACATAGTTTGGTTATTTAATATCTACTTAGAGCACTATATTTTGACAATGATGATCTTAATATTTTATCTTTTAAGTATATTTGACTGTTTTATGCACTTTATTTGTAGGTTTACACCATCTACACCACAACGTTAGCTGAATAAAATCTATGCTAAGTTCGATTCACTATAAAATTATAAACAAATCTTTTATTTAAAGAGGTTCACTTCTACCAAATATAAGTAAGTAAGTAAGACTTACCATGAATGTGTTGTCTTCCAGTAAACGTATTATTGGTATTCCTATAGCAGATATATTGATATCAACCATCCTCGTTGGGGGCTTAGTCGGTTCTTTACGTCCTGCTGTGATTTCAAACTTCCCTTGAGAGTTACAATCTTTTACAAGTACGTATGAACAGTATCCTTGGAAGTCGTATTTCAATCCGTCAAATGTTGTCATATGTGGATCACCATGTCCACCGCCCCCTGCAAATTAAATAATTATTATTTTTAATGATATTTAATTTTTAATGATATGGTAAAACTGCTTTGTCACCAAACCACAAAAGAATATTCTAGTAAAATGCAAAGAAAATGTTTTATGGCGCAAACTTCGTATTTGTATGGCTAAATACAAAAACATCTTAAAACAAATTGCTCTTCCTAATACTTTACTTAGCATTAGAATAAACTAGATAATCACACTGGTTGCCAATATACCTAAAAGAATGATGGCTGCCAAGATTACGTTAGAAGCGAGAACTGCACGAGACTTTTCGCCACTCGAACAGTGTTTTATTCTCTCCTGTCATCAACCCACTGCCTAAACATCATCGTTAATCAGCTCAAAGTGGAATGTCATGTGACTGTGTTGTGCATCTAAGATATGACAAATTTGCTTTTGGTGTCCTGGGTTTTTCCCTTTTTGAGCGCTGTAAATCAGATTGTGTGTATCCCCCGGTGGATACCAATCACAATTTATCGCCTTTCAGTGCTGATAACCCAATATGCAAAAATAGTCGGGAAACACCAGGTGGAAATGTTAAGTAATTGTAATAATGTACATCTGGTGTGGATAACGCAACAATATTTGGACATACTGTACATGGTAACTCTCGGGTCACATGTACATGGTAGAACTGTTATCATTAACCATGGAATTCAGCAGAGAGTGGATGAACTTAGAATTTAGAGCTTAGCTGAGTATTTGTTCTCAACTATTAAGGTTTACTTTAGTACTGGAAGTCACTATCTATAACTTTTACTCAATGAATAATTTGGCTGGGATAGCTCCCGGGGATAGCTATACAAATACATACATTAGAGGTAGGCTGGGCATAAGTGTATGTTAAACATAAACACCACACCCATTCATGCGATTAACTATACCAATGGCTAGTTGATACTTGTGTGCATGACAACTTCCCCTAAATTTGACTTCATTGTCGTCTCGGCTTTGGACGATAATCGAATGAGTATTTGTTTAATTGCGTACCATTTACAATTTTGTGTGCCAGCCCCAGCAATTGTAGACAACCTTGAAATGCTATTGTCATCATTAAGACTAATAATTCACAATTGTATAATTTAATGAATGGATGAACACACCTCAATTTCACAAAAATGTCAAAACAATGCAATTAAATATATTGTGTCATAAAATCAGAAGCACCTATGGAATTCATTATATTACAATTAATACAAATGACATTACGATACATCTAAAATAACAAAAGCGTACTTGCCATTTGCAGTGCATATTCGGAACACCCCTGTACTCTGATAATCAGTAGCGTATCCAATGTAGTTGACAGTGAGTGAATTCGGATCAGTCCATACCATGAAGGGGGTGTTCTTCCCAGACATGCCCACTTTGATATTACCGCTGTCCCAGGTCACCCAGAATTTCCTGAACTCAGATGAAGATATGATACCAGGTGTGCTTGCAAAACCCAGGGCTGTACCTCCATATGATCGACGTATGAAATATATAGCGTTAGACGCACCGATCATAACTTGGTACATGTCTGGTAAATCGTTCTGTTGTGCTGACAAACTAATAATTATGTTGCTGGCTGCTTTAACTTCAAAATCGAGACGAGTGACTTATCAGGGTGGAATTCTTTTCTCTGGGGTTCCCCACACGTGTCAGTGCGGAATCTCGTCTCGTCTCTATATCTCGTCCCCTTGAGGTACGGGATCGGGAAAGTCACTTAAGCTTTAACTGTCAGAAATAGTAGTCCGAATAGTGACGGTTATCTCGTAATTAGTTCCAAATCACTGAGTCGAGTTCCGTCCAAAACCTCACATGGCTTAAACGGTGCCAGACATAACACAGTCATTCAGCTAATTAAGTCGATTAACAGATACGCAAAAACAAATTCATCATACATCCCTTCACTCAAACTGAGCCATGCCTCCCGGCATAACACGTTCATAAATCAAAGATACCATCCTCTACTCATCGTCATACGGGTTAAATACAATACTAAGAAAAGGAATAAATCAAAATAGTAAAACACACTGATTAATAAACTCATTATAAAGTCTAAATACAATGATTATAAAGTCAAAAAAACAAGGGAAAGGCTACCAATAGGCCCGCTTTTCTCAAAACGGTTCGCTAAGGTAACCCTTCGCTGCACTGACTCTCGTTACTAAGGTTACAAACTCTATATCAAAAGGTCAAAAAGCTAAGGCGTGGCGGTGTAACCAAGCGACCAGCCAATCGCTGCAGTCGACAGCATGATCACGTGATTACCAGGGATGCATGTCTCGGTTAAAGTATTGCAAAGTGGTAACTAATCAACCATGAATAAACAAACTATTAATCAAACTCCTGTCATATACGCTTATAAACTTCTACTGAACTCATAAGTCGTTAATCAAAATAAAAGTCATACGGCGTGGAAACAGAATGCAAAGACAAAGTTATCATAACACA